ACTCTCTGTGGAGATAACAGTGAAAGTAACAAAGCAGATGAATGAGGCTCTAGAAAGTAATCAAACCAGAAATAACTTCTCAGATAACTCAGACATGGTGACCATAATGAAACATGTGCTTAGTGACTCTAGAGCAGACACAGATAAAAAAAATAGAAGAGTTTAGGAAAATGATGGACACCATGAATGCCAACATAAGAAAGAAGTGGAATCCATAAAATGGATTCAAACAGATATCCAGGAGATTAAATTTCCATTGAAAGTATGCAAAGTAAAAGAAAGAAAGTATACACAGTAGAATGAGCCATGTGAGGACAGAACATTATGTATAGAGTGCAAGATTGTGGTTAGTGATCAAGAAAAGAAAGACTTCTTAAAAATAGCAAGGGACCATGAAAAATCAATCCAATAGCTTCTACATAATGCAAAGAAGAATATCATAAGACTGATCAAAGTCAGTGAAAAAACAGGACATAGTTCAAATGACATTAAAAAAAAAAACCTGTTCGCAGAAGTAATGGTAGAAAACTTCCGATTGGAAAAAAAATTTGATGTACAGATAAGTGAGAACAGAATTTTAAAAACAGAATATTAGGGCTGGGGATTTAGCTCAGTGGTTCCACTGCCTGCTTTGCAAATGCAAGGTCCTGCATTCAGTCCCTGATAATAATAACCCTAATAAATGGTGCTGAAAAAACTGGCTTTCCACATGGTGAAGATTAAAACTTGACTCATATCCTTCACCATGTATTAAGTTAAAATTGAAATGGATCAAAGATCTAAGTATTAAAACAGAAACACTAAGTCTCCTGAAAGCGTCAATAGGTAGAACTCTTGAAGACATTGGTTCAGGTAAAGTCTTTATGAACAAAAACCCAATCACAGAGGAAATATCACAAAGAATCAACAGCTGGGATCTCATCTTAGTAAAAAGCTTTTGCACAGCAAAAGAAACCACCAACAGAGAGAAAGAAGAGACAATCCACAGTGTGGGAAAACGTCTTCCCAGCTGTTCCTCAGACAAAGGACTAATACCTAGAATATATAAGAGATTAAAAAAAATCATGCCCCTCAAATTGAAAGACCCAACACAAAAAAGGTCATGAGAAGTGAGTACACACTTCTTGGATGAAAAGGACAAACAGCAAATAAATACATGAAAAAATGTTCAACATCACTGGTCATTCCCAAGATGCGAATTACAGCAGTGAGATTCCATCTTACTCCAGAAAGAATGGATGATATAAAAAAAAAAAAAATCAACCAATAACAATGGCTATCAGGGCTGGTGGGAAAAAGGAGTCCTTCTCCACGGGTGCAGTCACTGTGGAAATCATTGTAATTCCTCACAAAAGTAAAAGGAGAGGTTCCATTCAACCCAGTTATTCGCCTTCTTGGTATCTTCCCAAAAGAATTCGAAGTATCATGTTTATAGTGGCACAATTTGTAATAGTGACATCTTGGAAACAGCCCACTTGGTCACCAACTGATGAATGGATGAAGAAGATTTTTTTTATACAATGGGGTACTACTCTGCCACAAAGAAGGATAACTTCGAGACATTTCTGGCTAAGTGGATGTACCTTGAGACCATACTTTTAAGTGAAATAAATCAGACACATGCATAACTATCACATGGTAAAAAATTCACCCCCATAGGGGGCCGGGGATTGGGCTCATTGGTTCCAGTGCCTGCCTTGTGAGTGCAAGGGCCTAGTTTGATCGCCGGTATGAAAAAAATAAAAAAAAGTACCAGTAAAAGAAAAAGTAAAAAAAAAGTTCTATTAAGTACAGCTCCCACATGATGCATGCGACCATTATGTATATCTAAAGTATACCAGTAAAATTAATTTTTAAAATAAATAATAATCCCCTCCAACACCCAAACACGTGAAGCACTGAGGAGGATATGGAACAAGCAAAGCACGCAGACAGTTTATTCAGAACACAAATGCTGCAACCATCTGGAGCCCGGTGTGAAAATTCCATACACGTTTCACTTACACTCACGGCCTGATCAGGTGACCCACTCTGAAACGTGTAGCCAAGTGAAACACACATTTATCTTCACAGAGAACCTACATATTCATGGTCAGGGCAGACTTATTTCATAGTCACCCAAACCCGCAAACCACCCAAATGTTCCTCGGCTGGTAAATGTTTGAGAAAGGAGGTCCCCGGGAACGGTGGCGTGTGGGCTGAAGGGACTGCAATCCCGGGAAGGCCCACACCGTCCCCTGCTGACCCCCAGCCTCACACTCGGGAGCGAAGCCAGACCTACAGACCACGCTGGGGGAGATGGGACGCCACGTGAGCTGGGCCAAAGAGTAATTTCTTCTGTCCTACCCCTTCTGGTGGCCTGAGGATGCTACGTCCTCAGAGGCACATTTGTCTACGAGAAGCAGGCTTGCTACAAGAAAGGAGAGCTCACATGTGAGCACTGGACAGACAAGCTCACTGCAGTCCACACCCCCAGGGGCAGCATCGGTGGAGGAGTTTCTTCTGCCTGGCAGAGGACACCTGCCCTGTCACCCGGGACCCTGCCCCAAACACACAGACCACACAGGAGCCTTTGCTCCTGCAGGATCCAACTCACCTGGCAACAGGCCGGGTGGTGAGTCTGTGAGGTAGGAGGGAGCTGAGCAGCTTAGTCCTCACTCATGACAGCTGCCTCGGTGTCCCCAGTGGCCTGGACCAGCCCAGAGCACAAGGGGCTCTTCCAAGATGGAGCCAGGGTGTGCTCGCTGCGCCCAGTCTGCTGCCTGGGTGCTGATAGGGGCTCTCTACTCAGGCTGTGTAGAGGGACAGCTCAGCCCAGCGTGGGTCTGGGTTCCTCTTCTGTGAGCCTCCAGGCCCCCTGCTCCTCCCCACCCTCCGCCACACAGCGCGTCCCCTCCTGTCTCTGCTCACTCTCGGGAGCCCAGGAGCCTGCAGCTCTGAGATGCTGCTGCCCCTGCTGCTGTGGGCAGGGCAGGGGGCACAGGGAGATGGCAGTGGGCTCTGGGAGACTTGAGGTCCGTTTACCCCGAGCTTGCTCATCTCAGGGTTCGAGGAACAGCTGGAGGTGCTGGAGTCGGTGGCCACACAAGGAGGGTCAGTGTGTCCTTGTGCCCTGCGGACTGCCCTGCCCTTACACGTACTCCTGGACTGGCTGTCTCCGCTACAGCTTTCCAGAAGGGCAGATGCAAGTCAGGACGCCCCAGTGATCCCAAAGAACCCACACCAAAGGGCAGCAGGGGACTCGGGGCCGGCTCTGCCTCCTCCTGGACACATAGGCCACAAACGGCTCCCTGCCCATCAGAGGTGCTCAGAGGGGCATCGGTGGTTCATACTTCTTTCTGGTGGAGGCAGGAACTGCACTGTGGCACTACCTCGCACACCCGTCTCTGTGGAAGTGACAGTAAAGGCCCAGGCCCCAGGGACAGCCATGGTGGCTTCTAGAGGTGGCTGGGATGGACCCTGACTTGGGACGGGCTGGGGTTTAAGGATTAGGGACTCAGGCGAGCTCCTTCTGCCCAGTCCCTGATTCTGGCGTCCCCTCTCCTCCCAGCCCTGACCCACACCCCTGACATCCTCATCCCGGGGACCCTGGAGCCCGGCCGTCCCAGCAACCTCACCTGCTCTGAGTCCTGGGTCTGTGAGCATCCTCTCTGGACGTCAGCTGCTCCAGGGCCCCCTGCTCCTCTGTGCTCCTCCTCAGCCCCCGGCCCCAGGCCCAGGGCACCAGCCTTACCTGTCAGGTGTTGCTCCCTGGAGCTGGTGTGACCGTGGAGAGGACCTTTGAGCTCAGCGTCACAGGTAAGCGCTGTGCCAGGATTTCCAGGCCCCTGGCATTTGGGGACAGGAGGGCTGATGGTAAGACTCCTGGTTCTGTGCCCTGGAGGCCTGGCTCCCTCAGGGACCTGGATGGACACGTATCTGTCCCTCTGTGCTCCGTGACTGGGTGGGAGAGAGGAGTGCTCCCTGATCTCCTGTCAGCCCAGCTCAACAGGGAAGCCAACTAGCTGGAGCCGCCCTGAGAGCAATCAGTCTTCATCTGCATAGCTCCTCCTGGCCTCACCCGCTGGGTCATTTGCTACTTTTGTTTCTCTAGATGTTCCCAATAAAGGTGTGACAAGCTCGGGGTCTGAGGTCTCTGCCACCCAGAGCAGCATGGGTCAGACAAAGCTCAGCTTCTTTTCTAACTCTGATTTCTGTGCTATGTTAATTAATTTGCCTTGTGTTGTCCCGGCTTGCAGGAGACTGGGACACGAAGCAGAGGTTTTGGGAACATCCCCTTTCCCTGTTCCCTACAGAAGAGCTCACCTGTAATCAGGGGACAGACAGCAGCCCACCTGGGGACACCAGTACCCAGCCTCCGTGAGGAGACGTCTCCTGCGCATTGGCTCAGAGCTCCTGCTCTCTGTGTCACCTGAGGACAATCTGTCTCTCACTCTGCAGGTGTCACTCATGCCTTGGAGCCACTGTCCCAGGTGCTGGAGAGAGCTTCTTGCTCACTTTCAGATGACACTCAATGCCCTACCATGATGCGTGGTCCGAGGCTCCTCGTGGGCGGCTGTGTTGAGCTCAGGGCGTCCCTTCCCTCCTCCTGTCCAGCTCTGCGGATGCTTACAGCTCACTGCATGTTGCTGAGCGAATGAACCATCAGCTGTCGCCTGCACTTTGCCTAGGACCCGTCTTCTCTCTTCTGCCCCACACACTCGGACCGTGCAGAGCCCTTCGTTCCCCACCATCCACCGATGGACCCAGGAACGGCTGTGCGTTTGCCGGGCCAGGCAGAGTCAGGCAGTTTAATCCTCCTGCCTCGTGACACCGCCTCAGATGTCCCCGGGGTCCTGGGCCAGCCCAGAGCTCAAGGGACGCTTCCGAGATGCGGCCAGGAGGTGGCCTCTGCTCCTTGCCCGTCTCTGGGCGGGTCTCTGGGGTTTCTGCACTTTACGCAGAGAGGGCCGCTGCAGCAGGATGTGCGTCTGAGTTCCTCTTCTGTGCAGCGGCCGGCCTGTGCCCTCCTCGGCCCTGTCAGTCACGCAGCGCTTCCCTCCACACTCTTCTCTGCTCACTCTCGGAGCCAGGGCGCCTCCAGCTGAGATGCTGCTGCCCCTGCTGCTGCTGTGGGTGGGGCATTGGGCGCAGGGAGCCGGGCAGAGGGAGCCTCGAAGACCTGTTGCGCCTTTACCCAGAAGGTGCCCAGTTAAGAGCAGGAACCACAAGCTGGAGGTGCCGGAGTCGGTGACCGTGCAGGAGGGTCAGTGTGTGCTTGTGCCCTGCACATTCCCATACCCTGGTGTGTACTCCTGGACTCGGCCTGTCTCTGGCTACTGGTTCCAAGAAGGGGCCGATACAAGTAAGGACTCCCCGGTGGCCACAAACGATGGACAGCGACAGGTGCAGAAGCAGACTCGGGCCCGGTTCCGCCTCCTCCTGGACCCACAGACCAGGAACTGCTCCCTGTACATCACAGACGCTCGGAGAGGTGACAGTGGTGCATATTTCTTTCGGGTGGAAACAGGAACTGAACTATGGAATTATTGTGCATATCCCGTCTCTGTGAACGTGACAGGTAAGGCCTGGGCCCCAGGGACAGACATGGTGGCCTCTGGAGGTGGCTGGGATGGACCGTGATTTGGGATGGGCTGGGGTTCGAGGATTAGGGACTCAGGAGAGCTGGGTCAGGGCCTGAGCTTCCCTTAGGGCTGCTCCTTCAGCCCTGTCCCCTGATCCTGGTGTCCCCTCTCCTCCCAGCCCTGACCCACACCCCTGACATCCTCATCCTGGGGACCCTGGAGTCTGGTCATCCCAGCAACCTCACCTGCTCTGTGCCCTGGGCCTGTGCGCGGGGGACGCCCCCCATCTTCTCCTGGATGTCAGAGGCCCTCAGCTCCCTGGGCCCCAGGGCCCCCCACTCCTCTGTGCTCACCCTCAGCCCCCGGCCCCAGGAATGTCAGCTGCCCTCAGCTCCCTGGGCCCCAGGGCCCCCCACTCCTCTGTGCTCACCCTCAGCCCCCGGCCCCAGGACGACGGTACCAACCTCACCTGTCAGGTGTTGTTCCCTGGAGCTGGTGTGACCGTGAAGAGGACCGTCCAGCTCAACGTGACGGGTACGTGCTGTGCCAGGACGCCTGGGCCCCTGGTGTGTGAGGACAGGAGGGGAGGACCTTGGGTCCCCTGTTGGTTGTGTGCCGGAGGCCTGGCTGAGTGTGGGCCTTAGGAGAGCACAGGTCCTGTCCTGTGGCATTTGTGTGGTTTCTGGGGTGAAATGGGAAACAAACCCTCTCTCAGGTAAGGACATTTGTGGGTGAGTAGCAATTTCTTCCTTCCCCAATCTAAGGGGTGGCTATATCTCCCACCAGGCGGTGAATATTTTGGGGTATTTAAAAAATTGCTTTCAGGTTTTAGAGCAGTGTAGCATTCACAGAAAATTTGAGTGCCGAGTACATAGAGAGATTTCCCATTAACCCCGTGATCACAGGTGCACAGCGCCCTGTCCCCCTTTCCAACAAGCGCGTCCGAGTGGGCCACTACTGACTGAGGAACCACAGACACTGGTCACCTGGAGCCTGAGCTCACAGCAGGCTTCACCCTGGGTGCTGTAGGTGCAGTGAGAGTTCTCCGTAAGAGTGTACCACACACAATAGTTCTGTGCTGTAGGGCATTTTTTTCCCCAATCAATATTCAGTCCTTAGTCGTAACATCTGCCCAAAGATCAGCCCAGGCCCCCCCGCCCTGTCTGGTGGTGGTGGTGGCATCTGGTTCTGTCACTGGATGGTGGACAGGGCAGTTCCCTCACAGTGCCCAGGGACCCGGCCCTGACTCCGGGTGTCGGTATCTCCCAAGGTCCAGTCGGGCAGGTCCAGGAGGGCGGTCTGCGTCTGGCTTAAACATTCAACCAGCATTTCCCTCTTCTACTTTACCTCCAATGCCTTCTGCGGGCACAAAGGACCCCATTAAACCCAAGGGCTGACGCAGACCAGGACAGGGGACTCTGACCCCCTCCCTGGAAGGAAAGAGGGACCAGGTCGGTAACACCCTGTGGCGCTTTCTTTCCCTGTCACTGTCTCATGGAAGTCCCAAGGGCCCAGAGCTTCACGCTCCTGCTGTGGCCAAGCCCTGGGTCTGATGCAGAGAGGCCCCAGCTGGAGAGGAACCTGGGTCCTAGGAGAGAAGGATTTGCTGGACAGGAGGGTGAAGGTGGGACAGGAGGTGTAGGGCGGACCATGTCCTGCCTCCCAAGGCTGAGCTCAGGAGATGTGAGAGGACCCCGGGGGCTGAGCTCCATCCTGGAGGTGAGGGCTCCCCCCGTGCTGGAGAGAAGCGCTCACTTGCCCGTCTGTCAAGGTTGGGGTTTGGCCCAAGCCTCCACTCTCCGCAGGGAATCACAGGACCAAAGCAACTGCAGGAGTGGTCGAGGGGGCCATCGGGGGAGCTGGTGTCACCGCCCTGCTCGCTGTCTGTCTCTGCGCCGCCTTCTTCATGTGAGCCTCAGATGTGGCCCGACGGTGTGGGTGGAGAAGATGGACCTGAGCTGGGGGGACCTGAGGGGTGTGAGGGGCCCCCACGAGGGTAGGGCGTCTGGTATTGGGGATCCGAGCTGCAGCTGCAGCCCCAGCCCCAGCCCAGATGTCCAGGAAGTGGGCGAGGAGTGGGGAGAGAGGAACCTTGTACAATGCCTGTGGTTAAAGCCACCAGGCCAATGCGACCCTATACCTGCCAACAGTCCCCTGTTCCCGGCTCAGAGCAGCCACCCTCAGCCTGAGCAAATCTGGCTCAGAGACCCCGGTGCCCCCTCAGAGTGAAGACCCTCAGGAAGAAAGCATCCAGGTCTGCAGAGCACACAAGTGACGTCGAACCTGCCCCTGGGCCCACCTCGCCGGTGAGTGACATGGTCACCCCGGGACTCAGGCTGCCCTCCAGACCCCTCTGTGGTGTGGTTCACCATCGCACCCCACTCAGAATGGAACCGGTCCCCTGCTGCCTCTTTTACAATCTACATCTGTTTTATTCAGCACAGCAAGGGATGAGGTAGCCCAGGGTGCCGGTGATGCGTGTGGGGAAGGAAGGGGGTTCTGGGTATGACTCGAAGGCTCACAGAGGGAAGAACTCATTGCAGGGCCCGCACACTGTCCCCACCGCAGAGGTACACGGACGGTGAGGTGACTCCTGGACTTCTGCTGACGTCACAGGTGCCTGTGTGTCACAGATGACCCCACCATGGCAAATAATTGAATTCCCCGTGGCGGAAACCGCCAGCACTGCAGGAAGAGTCATTTTTCAAGGAAAAAAACATTGTTTTGCTGGCGGCACCTCTGAGAATTCAAGTGGAGACACCGAGTCAGGGGGAGAGGGGATCCAGGTGAAGACAGGACTGGGGGTCCTCCACGAGGAGGCCTGACAGGGGCCAAAGCCACGAAAGGGGCAAAGCCCCGCACCCTCCAGCGTTCAGAGCTGGGGAGACAAGGCTGAAACAGCGAGACTCCTGAGGAGCAACCGAGGGGAAGGCGGAGGAGGAGACTGCAGGGGGCTGAATGTTTCTGTGAAACTCTGCTGGCTGCCTCGTAGCCTGGGGGAGGAAGAAATCTCCGGGTAGGAGAAATTTCATGAGAGAAGGGTCGCCGAGGAAGTGGGAATTGTGTTTTGGGGACGCCTCTGAGAAACACTGCACTAAATGTAGAACCGAGAAACAGGCTTGCAGCAGAAAATGCTTCTGCTCTGGGAACCTTGACATTTCTAGAAGCGCCCGACAGCCCTGTGTCCCGCGAGCCTACAACCCGCCCGCGGCTCCTCCCACGTCGCGGGCAGCGCCCGTCCCACCGGACAAGGCTCTCGGGTCTGTACCTCCTGCCCACCTGCACGGAGGTGGCCGCTGCCATCGAGGGTGCCCTCGGCAGTGTTTGCCTGCGTCTCCCACCGCGGGGCCCACCTCTGCGGTGCTGCGTCCCGTCCTTGTACCCAGGGCACACAGAGCGCCTTGGGGACAGCGGGGGATCGGAGGACAGTGACCTCGGAGGCTTAGCCTCCCTGTCAGGGACCACAGCCTTTGCACACAGGTCCCGTGAGTGCTTCCTCTGGGCGTGGAGAAGGAGAAGGAAGTGGACGAACACACCGGGCTCCCTCCCCGCTGCAGGCTATGATGCCCTCTTTTTCTCTCCACTCAGGGTCACCCGCCAGAGTCCCAGCTGCGAGGCTCAGGCTCGGCTGAGCCCTGGGGTTCCAGCCCAGAGGAGGGGCAGGAGCTGCACTACGCCTCCCTCAGCTTCCATCCTCGGACCAATCCCTCGGCGACGACGCAGGTCAGGATCCAGTGACCGCGAGGGAGGATTCGGCGCCAGGGGAGCTGGGTCCGCAGCAGCAAGTTTCCTGCGGCGCGGAAGCCATCTCAGACTCTGCCATCCGAGAGAGCTGGGACCGAATCTGGGCTCTTGTGCTTCCTAAGAAGAGCCAGGTCGCCCCAGAGCGTCTGTTTCCTGCTCTGTGAGTGGGTGCTGTGAGAGGATTAAATGAACAGCAGGAGGAAGGCCCCTGCCGAAGCCCTAGTGTGTACCGAGAGCGCCTGCGTCCTCGCCTTCGGCCATTCAGCCCAGAGGCCAGGCTGCCCCGTCCAGCAAACGGTCCACATGGGGAAGCCCTTCCTGTCTTGACTTCCCCTCCGGAGTCATCTGTCTCCCCTGCTCCGGTCCGCCCTTCTCCCCTCCCCTCCAACTTTCCACCCCTTTATGTCCTGCTGCTGCAGGCACGGTCACCTTAGCATCTGACATTGCCTCAGACTCAGAGATGACCATAGTCGGAATACATGGCTGGCTCCCCCATTTGAAGAGAACAATTGATAAGATTTTCATCATGGCCTTCTAGGTCAGAGATTAAAAATCGTTTTGTGAATGGAGTCAGTGTTTGAGGCTTCACAAGCCATGGTTTCTGTTGCAACTCCTCCACTGGAGCACAGAGGCAGCTGGGACGATCTGAGTCCGGTCAGAGCTGCTTTTTCAGGATCTTGCCTCACCTCGTAACAAAGGAGGAAACCAAGAGCCAGAAACTGCAGGCCTTGTGGCGCGGGCCCCTTTTCCTTGTCTTCCTGCCAGACCGACGCCGTCCTCAGGAGGGGAAGGGCTGCAGGGAGGCAGCACCCAGGACTCCTGACTGTCTGTCCAGGCCTAAACCGACCAGCCCCTCTCCCAGTGCTGGGATTCTCTGGGTCAGGGCTTTCTGCAGAGTTGGGGAGCATCTGAACTCAGTGTGATCCTGTCTAGCACCAAAATCAGCAAAAGCATCACTACCCCAGCTCTTTTTAACTTTTATTTTGACACCGTCTCCCTCAGTTTCTCAGCCTGAGCTTGAACTTGCAACCCTCCTGGTTCTGCCTCCCGAAGTGCAGTAATTTCAGGCTTGCGTCGCCACGCCTGCCTAGGAAGATGAGTCTGAGGGGACGGAATCTCCCCTTACAGGCTCCTGTGCAGAGGCTGGAGGAGCCCACAGAAAGGGCTGGTGCTGTCCTACATCAGCGGTGGGCTCCTTGCCGCCGGTGGGTGTTAACTAGGGATTTGTGCTCTCCTGAGGCAAGGATGGAGCAGTCTCAGGAATTCCGGGAGTTACATGGTGACAACAAAGCCATCCTTGGGGCAGCATAGGGAGGGAAGCATTAATTGCTCAGAGTGACATTTTACACAGTTGCAAGGCCTTGGGAAATATAAGACTTCTGTTTATTGTGTATTCCTCCTCCTACCCACTCTGCATGACGGCGGCCTTCTGTTTTTCTGTCTCCATCTGTGCCCACTTTCATTCTCCCTGTTGAAGGCAGGTCTTCCTCTTCCTGTGCCTCCTCACACTTCTGTCTGGAACCTTCGAGGATCCCGCACCGGTTCCTGCCCAGATCCCTTCCTGCAATTTCTTTTCAGCCCAGCTGTCCTGAGCCCAGAATCCCAGGGAGCCAAGAAGTCTGGGTGCCTCTGATAGGACCCTGAGATCCGAAAACAGGAACTTTCCCTCCACACTTCCCTCTGTGTGACTGTTTCCAGTCCTTGCTCTGCTTGGGTGCCCACTGGGGGCCGGGTTCCTCTCACCCAGGATCCACTACGTCAGATGGCTGGGCACGGCGGACATGGCCAGGGCCTGAAACACACAGACCAAGGGGCAAACACGTGCAGAGCATCCTCTGTTCCCCAAAGTAGGAACCAGGGGAATAAGGACAGATTGAAAGAATCACAAATTATATAGGGAGTGAAGGAACAGTGGAATGGATTTGTGAATGCACATGAAATTGACTCACTGTGGGCATTCAAATAAACCTGCAACAGAGGAACCTTTGTGCATACGTTAGACACACCCTGCTCGCATTTCTAGGACTTGTCACTACATTCTGGCATTGTAAGATAGGTGAAAGGCAAAACAAAAATGCTAGCATCAAATCACCCCGGAAGATTATACTCTAAGGAACACAGTTTTCATTAAGGATACCCAGTAATCTTGTTTTGCTTTTCTAAATTTACTTACAATTCTTAGTAACTATTGAATATGCGTCATATGCCACACATTTTTTTTTCTAGAAAGCACTAAGCAGTAAACAGTTGAGCTACAAAATCCTTCTTGTGACTTATGCTTGCATGGTGGGAGAGGTAAGTAAGGGATGATTAAGCAGATTATATGCTGTTTCAATTGGCTGTAAGAATTGGAGAAAAAAAAAGCATGAAGAATAAAGAGGAAATGAGGGGTGGGCTTTACTCCCCAATATGCTGTCCCTGGATGCTGTCATGGGAAACTGAATGTGGATGCAGACACAGATCTATGGCACGTGTGTGACTCTTGTCATCCGTGGCACACACAGTCACGCCGTTCCATCAGCCACGCTATCAGTGCACACACACGTACAAACACACGCACACACAACACACGCAAACACACTTCCAAACTCACATATACACTTTACGTGCACACATTCAAAGCAGACATGTACACACACCTCATGCACACACAAAGACCACAAACACACGTCAGTAGTTCGTCCTCGGGACAACTAGACCCAAAGAGCGAGCAGAAAGGAAGCGGGAGGAACGCTGGCGACTCGGGGCAGATCTGCCCACACGGGTGGCTTCCAGTTCTCAGTCACCCCCCCGCCCCACTCGCAGACCGATGTCAGTGCCCACCTGTCT